CGCAGTCAGCACCTACCGCCATCCGGCCGCCGCCTCCCGCCCGGCGCCGCGGGCACCCACACCTCGGGACCGAGACCGGGAAGCCTCGGGGCGCGGGCCCGGAGCGACGGGGGAGACCCCGGAGTCCAGGTACCAGTCAGTCTCCAAAAAAGGGGGCGGAGGGTTATTCGCAGCGCCTGGGGGAGCAGTGGAACCTAGAAGCCATCTTGGGATGTGAGGAAGAAATCGCGATGGCTGCGGAGGTTGTTCCCGCGCGCCCCGCAGGACTCCCCGCAACCCCCGACCGCGCTCGTCCGGGTGGAACCCCGGGCATCGGGCCGCCGCCGAAGACGGCTCCCGCGGCTTTGTACTCACTCTGCCCTCGAAGTTGTTTTCCTCTACATCACTCATGTCGGCCAGGCGCTCCCCAGAACTAAATAAGAGACAAGTTTCGGCTCGAGGGCCGACGGCCTAATCACCCCGCTGACTGGACCGTGGGGAGCCGGAAAGAGTCGGCAACAACGGCCGCCCCGCTCCACTCCCACTCGGTCGTAGGCTCCGTCAAAATGGCGCCGGCGCCGCCAGAAACCCTCTGGCTTCTCCAGGGCGCGACGTAAGGGGGCGGACGTCACTGTGACGTCACGAGCCCCGCCTCCCGCGAGGCTTTGTGTTCCCCGGGTTTGGCGCGGCTGGTGGATGCCAGCCCGGAGTTTGCCCGTCTCCGGGCCACTCCCTCCACGCTGACCTGCGGGGCTCAGACTCCTCTCTAAAGCGTGCATCCTTTTGAAGTTTCTGTCCTCGGAGGAGCTTTTAATAACGTTTGCCCTTTTAAATATTGTCCACGTGGATTCTCGTGTAAAGGAACAGAAATAACTGGAAGCGTAATTAAGCGGATCATTTTAATACTTGCCCTTTGTAATGGCGTCGAAGTAACGCGCACAGATGGAGCTGTAACGAGCAGCCACGCTTCTCTTTTCTCCTTCTGTCTCCGTCTCTCTGTCTTTCCTTTCTCTGTCGCTCTCTTGAGAATCTCGTGTAGCCAACCTGACCTGGAACTCCGTATGTAGCTCAGGCTGGCCTTGAACTCACGATCCTTCTGCCTCACCCTCTCCAGTGGTGGGATTATAGGCATGAGCCACGCGCCCATCTCTAGTCTTTTTAAATAGATATTTTCTTAAAAGCTGTTAGACAAGACCTCTGAAATCAATCTACTTGAATCCCAATCAATTATAATTTCTGAGATGACTTTGAGTTTAGAAACGCAAATATACACGTTATGTGAGTCAAGGCCAGCCTTAACGACATAGTGAGACCCTGTCTTAAAAAACACATATAAATGTTGTAAAAATACTCGTCTTCTGTTATGGTTTGTGTCTGGATGCCTCCCCAAAGCCTCATGCAGTTATGGAGCAGGCTTTTAGAGTGTATGATTGATCCGTGGTCCAATGCTGGGATTATGGGTGTGAGTGTTACACCTACCCTGGGGCGGGTAGTTTGCATATGTAAGGGAGGGAAAGAGGCTGCTTGCCTCCACTCCTCCTTTATGCTCTTGTTGCTTTTGCTGTTTTTTCTGCCTCCATGAACAGTTGCCCTCTGCCTTGTTCCACTCTGTCTTGGAGCCAGCCACGTATGGACTGAAACCTCCACAAACTGTGAGCTAAATAAACCATTCCTTCCTTAATTTTGGTATTTTGTGTCAGCAATGAGAGAAAAGTAACCAAGACACCTTCACCCAGCTTATCCAAGTTTGAATGTCTTTTATAACCACAGTATAATCATTAAACCAGGAAATTGACACATAGTAGTACTGTATCTCTCTGTGTCTCTCTCGCTTTCTCTTGGTAATGGATATTGAAGCCAAGGCCTTTGCTCTGAGCTATTTGAACAGCCTATTTCATTTCATTTATTTTATTCACTTTTTAAAAGACATCACACTGTTTATTTACAAGTGTGGGAGTTAGGGGAGGTCGGGAAGGAGAGGGCAGATGTTGTCTCTGGACTGCTTGGCGCCCTTTTCCACTCAAGGCAAAACCCCTGCCATCGGCCAGGGGGTCCTTGCAGCAGCAGGACCGTGCAGGGAGGGAGGGGTAATGCTAGCACAGAGCAGGGCCCACTTCCAGGTTTAAAGCATCGTTTCCACCCTCCCCTCCTTCCACAGAAAGAACTCCGTGTGTTGGGAGCGCAGCTCAGCGGGGCACAGTTCTTGCCTAGCATGTGCGAAACTTTGGGTCATTCTCCAGCACTACAAACAAACAAGCAAACAAAATCGCAAATAAATAAAACCACCTTCTGGCCTGGAAGAAAACGGTAAAGAATTTGAAAGCCCAAGAACTCTGGAGGGGGAAACCTTTCTGCTCTTCCTCAAAGCAGTGACAGGAAGTAAGGGCATCAGTCCCAGCCTGACAGCCTTTCAGTGACAGTGTCCTGAGGCTCAGGGAACCCGGCCCTCCTGGATGTACCTACTCCTGCGCTGGACGGGCCCTTTAACCAGTTGTCTCCGGTGAGAGAAAACAGAAACGTGTGCGTGTGTTTTGAGGAAGTGGAGCCAACACAACTGCTTGTGGGTCAAACTGCTTAGTTTCACAGAGCCCTTTTCTTCTATTCAGATTCCATTGGGCTCTGTATTCCTCCTGTGTCAGGGCCTGGGCCTGGGTTCTCCTGACAAAAAGAGCTACGAGAGCTTCCGCATCCCAGCGACAATGCCAACTCCAAGCCTTTGCCTCCGGCTGTCTTGCCCATTCCCTGTGTCTCGAGACTCTCAGTCACTCCTCTTGCACACCCGTCTGTACTGGGCTGGCCTCAGGCCCCTTCGTTCCTGTCCAGAGCTCTGTTTCAGCTTCCGCTTCAGACTAGGAGAACAGGCATCTCCCACTTTTTCCTGGAAGTCCCAACAGAGGCTGTGAGAAAGTGCTGCATGAAGTAACGGAAGAGAAGTTGAGGAGGAAACCACAGCCTGTGTCACCTGCCCCTCACCTTCACAGTGGGACATTCTAGCCGGGATGGGCAGGGGTAGGGCAGAGCTGGGGAGAAGGAGAGCGTTGTCAAAATAAATGTAAGACAAGCTAAGCCCCAGCGATACCGAGGAAGACTCTGTCCCAGTCAGTCGGAAAGTTGGGTCCTCCTTTGACTCTGCAGTCTCACTGAGAAGCCTGAGGAGTGTGGGCGAGGAGGGGGCCAGCCAGCAGAGCTGTGAACACAGTGGGAGAGAAGATTCTGTAGGAGACAGCAGCAGAATGGAAATCCTCAGAGCTCCAGGGCTGGGACCCACGCCTCTGAGATCACCCTGCTGTTTGGGGAGGATAAGGAAGAAGGCAGAGGGGCAGGGTGCAGGGGGCTGGAGCTGACAGAGGTACCAAAGGCTGGCACTAAGTTGAAGGAGAGGCCCGAGGCATGGGCCAAGGGATTGGGAGAGCGGGGAGCCCAGCAGTCTCTCGGTAGGTAGCTGAGCCGATGTCCCCGCTGGGGCAATCGAGGGCCTGCAGGTTGGCCTCATGATTGATACATCCCATGGAGTTGAGCTGCTCCAGTTGCTGCAGAAATCTTGCTTCTGGTGTCTGTGCCTGTGAGTTTCCACTTCCAGCCAGAAGCTGGATCATCGGCTGCATGAGCTGCTGCTAGGTACAGAAGGCCCCGAGGGAGGAGAGGTGGCTGCTGTGGCTGTCGAGGACGTGGGAGCCTCAGCTGCAGACCCAGAGTTGCTGCCTCCTCAGGGTACTGTGGAGGGGCCAGGACTGGGGATAAGCCCAGGGGTCTTCCAGGTCTGCATTCTCTGTGGGTCTGGAATAACGCCTGCACAGCACTGGGATGGGTGAGGATGGCAGTGACTTGGAGTTCTGCATCTGCTGCAGGAGGAAGGGAGCTACAGGCCGGGCTGGTCCTGCAGCTGGGGCTTCCCTGTGAAGAGCGGCACATTCACCAGTGTCTGAACGGTGAGGTTAGGGTTCTGGGCCAGCCTCTACACCGTGCTGTGCATCAGGGGGCTGAGATCACATTCTGCATCGCTCGGGGTTCTCAGAGATCTGGAGCAGTGCCTGCATTTCTGGGCTGCTGAATATCCCTGGCCCCAGTCTAGCCGCATTGAACCCAGAGGGGTTCCAGACTATGGGGGTCACCTGGCTGGTCCCTGATCTGGTGCCCTCCCCACTGGACACGGGGGCCTGGGAGGTGGGGGCAAGGAGCTCTGGGAGGATGGAGGTGCTTTCAATTCTCAGTCTGGAGGAGGTAGAATGAGCTGTCTAGTTTTCTGGCCAGGGAAGAGAAAAGATTATCACCAAACTGTTCCAGGGCAGCGTTGAACATGAGCTCCTGGACATCCGTGTGCATGGGTGGTACCTTAGTTACTTTTTTCTCATTGCTGAGGCAAAATACTTGACACCCAAAGTTAAAGGGACAAAGGTTTATTTAGCTCACAGTTTGTGGAGGTTTCAGTCCATAATCAGCTGGCCCCAAGGCAGGGTGCCACATGGCAGAGGGCAACAGGTCATGGTAGCAGAAGACAGCAAAAGCAACAAGAGAAAGTGTGACAAGCCTCCTTCTGCCCCTTTTGTATTGTATTTTAGACTGCTGGGATTAGATCAGTGCCAATCCAATCAGTGGACTGATTTAGTAATCATACACCCTTAACCCCAGCGTCACACACTCTAGATTCAGCCACCTGTGCAAAAGCCTAAAATTACATGAGGTTTTGGCAGGACATCTAGACACAAACCATAACAGGCAGAGGGCATTATACCCCTGGGGATGCTCTCAAGATTGTTCAGGGCCCAGTCCTGGTTCCACATAATTTCGTGCATCTCGGTGGGATTCTGAGCAAGCTCTACTGTCTGCCCCGTGAGCTCAGGCTGTTGAGCGTGTGCCTGATCCCTAGATTTCCTCCCTCAGCTGCTGTATGTAGGGGGTGGCCATGAGCATGTGGCATGTAAGGTCAGGGTTAGACATCACATCCTGGGCAAGGGGGTCTGCATGACCTGTGACAACGTGTCAGCGTTGACCATCAGCTGCCTCTGCGTCTGCCGCTACAGCTCTACGAAGTTGGCAGAGCCGAGGCCCAGGCTGCCCAGCCCCAGGCTGCACCCAAGCCAGAGAGTACAGGTGCAGTACCACATCTGGAGCGAGGCTGACGGAGGTAGAAGGCTGGGCAGGGGTGAGGGTGAAGCAGGTGTGGTGGAGAGAAGCAGCGCTGGCAGCAGCTGGATCCGGAGTCCTCTGTATGGTCTTGAGGACCAGATGGACAGTGAGCCCATCTCTGATCCCAGGCTGGTCCAGTGTGTCTCCATGCTTGAGGATCTTGCCTGTGAAGATGAGGTCCAGCTGATCCCGCTGAGTTTTAAACCTCCGGCAGGTTTCCTCTCTGAACTGAGTGCTGGGATTACAGTGTGGGGTTTTACTAAATTGCTACATTGCCCAGGCTGGACTGGAACTTTCAGTCCTCTTGCCTTGGCCTCCCAGAGGGCTGAGGTTACAGGCATGTGCTAACCATACCCAGTTCCCACCATCATTTCAATTCAAACCTTCCACATTCTGACCACCACTTAACCCGTTTCTTCTAATAGTGTGATTTCAAAAACTTTTGACCTGATTAATGACAATCTGTTGACCCTCTCAAGTTTTCCCTGTCTCTGATAAAATCCAATTTCCATCTGCTTAGAGCTTGCACCTCTGTGCCTAAATGTGGCAGGAAAAAAAATTCAATTATACTAACTCTTCTCTTGTAATTTTTTTTTGATACTGGGAATCAAACTCAGGACCTCACGCTTGCCAGGCAGGCACTTTGCCAGCCCTCTTGTAATGTTTTTGATCAATAACCCTAACGTTGCCCAACAATATATTTCCTTAATTTATTTGCTGTCTTCAAAATATTTCACTCCTCTTCCTTTATTTTATTTTATTTTTTCCTCTTTAAATTTGAAGCTTTTACTCTCCTTAAACTTATTATTAACTGCTGTCCTTTTTTTATTTTAAAGAGAATAAAAAAACCAGTTAAAAATACAGAATTTCAAAACAAGATGATCAGGAAATTAACAATGGTTATTATGTTGCATATTGTTCATTTTAAAATTTATATCACATATTATGTTCAAAGTAGTTGCTCAGATTACCAGATATAGACAAGCAGAATTGATCAAACAATATAAGTACTAACTGATCCTTTCAATGAGCTAATAGAAATGAGTAGTACAATTACCTTAGCTATCTCGTGTGTCTATATATATATATATATATTCTTTTTTCCCCCTTCCTTTTTCCTTTCCCCCATCCCAGATGTTCTTTCCCTTTGAGCAGTTCCCTTCCCTTTCATAATATCTATTGTAACTTTTTTTTTTGGTACCAGGAATCAAACTCAGGGCCTTGCGCTTGCCAGGCAGGCACTTATGCCACTAAGCTATATCCCTGGCCTGTAACTTTTGGATCTTATTTGCTTTTTCAGTTTCTTACATTAGGGAGACAATACGATGTTTACACGTGAGAGTCTGATTTATTTCACTTATGAGTATGGTCTCTAGTTGCATCCATTTTCATGATCGCCAGGCAGGTGCTGTGCAGCTGAACTATATTCCCGGCCCTTAGCTGCTGTCCTTACTTTCTGTTTCACGAGGAAAACAGAAGAGAGTTTCCTGAAGTTCCCACCACCCCACAACCCTACCCTCCTCCAGCAGCAGCTCTACCCGCCCCTGATACTTGCCTCCCAGACAGTACTAACTCCCCAGCTGTGGTGTGCTGCAGCTGATGGTACAGGCTCACAAAGGTTGACGATGAACATTTCAGGAATTATGAGAGCTGGATATTAAACTATTGGTAGCTTGCAGTCAACTATGTTAGGAGTGTTTATATTATAAAAATCAGTGAACGTTTCAGATCAATACTCTTCTCTCTTTCAGGGACCTGGTTTTCAACATTTACACCTTGTCTGTTCCTGTGATAGACCTTAATATAATGTTGCCTTGTAAAGTTTTTTTAATTTTGGGGTTGTCTTTTTATGGGGCTGGGAAGAGCCCAGCGCCTTTTGCATGCTAGGCAAGTGCTCTGCTACTGACTTACATTGCCAGCTCCCTGGCCTCCACGTACATATCTGGTTTAATATGCTACGTTTTCTGATATAACCTTCCCCCCCACAATGAACCAGGTGTCACTCTGGTTCATTCATTTTTTACCATCCTTCCCTACCCTGAAAGAGCACGCATTCCATGAAGACAGATTTCAGTTGGTTCTATTCTCTGTAAGCTCTTCCAGGACTTGGAACAGTACCTGACACTGTGCAAACTCAGCTCACATTTACTTGCTGAAATGAATGGGATGCATCTGACGTTCTACAGCTGTTACTTCTCTAAGACCTTGCTTGGTTATTCGGTGCTTACTGGATTGCTTGGTTATTTGGTGCTTACTAGATTGTGATACTACACGGAACCAATTGGATTTTCAAACCTTGTCAAGGAATTCATTTTGCATTATCTTTTCCAAACAGAAGAGGGCAACCTTGGAGAGGTAAGAGACGGGTAGGACCCGCTCTAGATTGGAAACTCAACACCACCAGGGGGCAGTGTGGCTATGCTGGAAACTCAAAGCCTGGGATCCAGGCAGCAAGGGTCTGTGACGGCTGGCGGCTGTCCCATACACACAAGTTTTCAGTTTGCTTTCTTCTTTTGGCCAGCTTATCTTTATTAACATTTTTCTGCAGAGTTATATGTTTGTGTTTTATATTTTGTTTCACATTTGGCAATATTAAATTTAAAATGGTAATCTAACTTTTTAAGGTAACACAAAAATCATCATTACACTACCTTAGATTATATAATTTAGTGGATTTTAGGAGAATCATATATTTCTTCTCCTTTTTTTTCTTTGTTTTTTTTCCGGTACCAGGAATTGAACTCAAGACCTTGCGCTTGCCAGGCAGGCGCCGTGCCGTTGAGCTAAATCCCCAGCCCCCTTTTTTTTCTTGGTTTCTCCTTTTTTTTTTGAGACAGTGTCTCGCTATGCAATTCAGGCTGGCCTTGAACTCACTATGTAGCCCAGGCTGGCCCCCAATTGATGGCAATCCTCCTGCCTCAGCCTCCCCAGTGCTGGGGTTATAGGTGTGTGGGT